TCACTTGGTAGTCCAGGCTGGCCTGGAACTCACAGAGATCCGCCTGGCTCTGCCTCCCGAGTGCTGGGATTAAAGGCGTGCGCCACCAACGCCCGGCAAGAATTTCTTACTGTACTTGAAATTGTTGCAACTATTTCATTGTTTACATCTGCACTTTCCTATAAGCAATCTAATTCAAAAAGAATATGTCAAAGAATATACTTTATTACTTAGTAGTCTATCTAATTTGGAAAACTAAATTGTCATAGCTCTTTAAGACTATATCACATGAATTTTGTTATTTGGGTAATTCCTTTAGATTTTTCTTAATTTTTAAAATTTACGTGTATATGTGTGTAGAGGGCAGGTGCTATGTGCACATGGTTGCAGATACAGAAGTCAGAGGTGCCGGATCCCCCTGGAGTTAAGAGTTACAGGCGATTCCTATCCACAATGGATCTTAGGAAATGAGTTTGGGTTCTCTGGAAGAGGAGCTATACTTGTAACTCCTGATCCATCTTCCAGTCCTTTGGTGGAAGTTTTCTTAGGAACATAAGAACTATGTGTAACATACTAATGTACCAGTAAAAATTAAAATATAAACTAGGAGAGGCGTAGATTCCTTCGCCCCAGGGTAGAAGATCTCAGATTGTTCCTTTGGTTCTCATAACCTTACCTGAGTGTCTTGTTTTAGTCATCTTGTACCCCATGTCAGAACACAAATTTTAATTCTTCTAACAGGTTTCTAACTCCAGTAACATCCAGAAGTTACTTTTCTCTCTGTCAAAACCTTCTCTTCTTTTCCTACCCTAGGGTGTTATTTTGAAATAGTTTATCTACCAGATAGTTTATATTAAACAGTATTTTGTCACCTGCTTGATTTTTCTTCCTGCTTTTTAAGTCAAAGGTAGACACTCTTGCCCTATTTCCAGAATTGCAGTTAATGAGATTGCCAATTCAACCTTTGATTTGAGGTCCACACAGAGTTTTATCACAAAGTTTATATACATATGGTCTATCTCAGAATTTTTCACATATTAAAAGATTCTGGATTAGTCAATCTACCTTTTGGCATAGCAACAAGTAACAGTAGCTAAAGATTATTGAGTGGATGGAGTTCAAGTCAGTTTGGTCAGGAGGGAGGAGCCGAGGTGGCAGGGACATGGTGGTGATGGAGCATCTCCGTTGGATGGATGGCCACCACCGTCTGTGTCACTGAGCGACATTGTGGACACTGAGGAGTGTGCAAGATGCCGCTCCTGTCTACTCAGGAGGGACTTAGAATCTTAGAAACAGTCTTGTTTAGCAACTAGTTTAGTTGTAAATTATGGGGGAAAAAACCAGGAACATTTCCATAGTAATTATTGTTAATATTTACTGTTAGTTCTAATAATAGCAATCTTTACAGTTAAAACAATACTTTGGGATGTCCATACAAAACTGAATGTTAAAATTGGTGCCTCAGCCTTGTGAGAATTTGTGCCCCTAACTATCTCTCTCTGAATAAAGTAAAATTTACAGTGTACTAAAAAGTAAATGACTTACCTTGTGATCTTCTCTGTTACAGATGATTACTGTGAATGCTTCCTTGTTTCCTAGTTCTGTGGCCAACTCATTAATTGCAGTTGGAAATGATGGACTTCAAGAGAGAGACAGAATGGTCCGGGCATGCATTGCCATTATCTGTGAACTAGGTCAGAATTTTCTTGAAGTAATGAAGTGTTTTATAAAGTACACATAACATTCCCTAATGTCTTTACAAGAAAAATGCTTTAATTATTGCTACAAAAATAAGAAAATGTTCATTTCTGAAAGGAAAGTAGAAGACGTGTTATTTAACAATTCAAAATTCATATTATTGTATATATTTTCAGATTATTCATCATGAAATTTGATTGATACTATATCTTGATATGGTTTGAAGTAATAGTCTCTACAGTGCAAAAAATGAATTTTAATCAACCCCCTTTTTATTACAGATCAGAGATTAGAGTGAAAAAAAGGGAGAGTCAAAACATGAATGCATGTTTATCTGGGCATTGAAAGGAAAGAAGTAAATCATACACAGATTTTAGTAGCTAGCGTTTACTATAAGGAACCAAAAAAAAAAAAAAAAAGAAAGACTATTATCAGATCAAACAAGCAAAATACCCCATGTAAAGTAAAATAGTAAATACAAATAATCTCCAAATACCCACTTGGCTAATTTGAAAAGTTCAACTTCATTTATTGTCAGTGGAATATAATTTTAAGTAATAATAAGATGATGATTTTTTTCCTATTACCAAAAGTACAAATTGTGGAAATTATATTTCTTCTTGGATAGTAAATAAATTAATAAAGTTTTAAGTTTCAAAAAAGAAGAACCACTCTACCACTGAAGACTCAAAAAACTGCCTGTAATACCTGGTATAGAAAGAAGATCAGAAATATGATTGGGATTGCTAAGAAAATTGTAAAATTTTACAATATAACCATGTATTGGATACCTAGAAAATTATATTGATTGATGTTTATCATAAAGTAAAGCAAAATATAAATGGATAAGCAAACCCGAGTAGGAAAGAAGGGAAATACCCAACAGCTCCACAGGCAGAGTGAAAACAATTCCAAAATTAACAGAAAAAAATTTAACATAATATGCTTGAAAAAAAAACCGAGTTTTTAAAATCAATGTTAGTACCCAGTTGCATGTCAGTAGATCACGTGCTGGATCAAAGCCACAGACGTGATTACAAATACTGGTGAAATTATTGGCTCTGAAAAAGCTGACCAATGGACCTTTGTAAAATAATAAAGGAGCACGTCATTCCATCTAGGAACATTTAGATAATTAGAAGGCTACTCCATTGATAGTCTAGATGGAAGTCATAAACGTTTTATGGACAAAAACTTTTGCTGTATGCCAATGCTTGGCATACCTGAAAAGCTATACTTCAGGTAATGTAATGTGTAGTTCTAAAGTGGTATTGAAAACAGAGAAGGAACTAATCTTAAATTTTGTCATTCACACAACTGAAGAAACCATGAGAACAATTTTTGTAAAGAGTCACGGAAGAGAAAGAAAAGTTCTTATTAAATCAACACTTGGTGTTAACCTTTTTTCATGGGCATGCATGATGTATGTGTGTGCGCATACATGTGAAGGTCAGAGGTCGACATCTGTTATCATCCTTAGTCACTTTGTACCTTACAATTTGAGACAACACTCTTAGTAAACATTGTAAATTAATACATGAAGTTTAAATGCTGGAAAATAGCTAGCTGTCACTCTAAACATATATTGACAAAACTGAATCAAGTGAAGAAATGACCTATGTGATTGCTACTGTGGAATTATGGGAAAATTTAAATTTGATGTTTTTCAGAAGTAATCAGAATAGAATAGACAAAATCAGAATAGAATAAACACATCAGAGATGTGTAGGAAATAGGGTGATGTGTGTGAAGGAGATACCTTTGAGTGTGTCAAATTGAGTTTCAAGAAGGTACAACTGGGGACACAGGATAAGAACAGCGATGACAGTGCAGGGCGGGGGGAGCATATTGGAACTCCTAACAGTTCAGTTCTATGTCGAGCAGGCTTGGGCAGTCAGTGTAACTGTTTGCATATCACTGACCCATACCATTCAGATCTGTGCACTGTGTTTCTGAGTGATTTCATCTAACTTTAGAACACAGGAGGAAACCTAATTCTAAAATCATTCAGGAGAATAAACATGACAGATGAAACTATAGAAACATTTTGAAAAAAAAAAA